AGTTTTGGAACAAGTTAGATAGCTGGGTGTGTGTGTGTAGGGGGAAGAGTTGGATTCTTATTTTACTCTTTATTCCAAAACAATTTTCAGGTCAAAGAAAATGGGAACATTAAAAAGAAAAGGGCAGGGAGTGGCCGGTTAGCTCAGGTGGTTAGAGCGCAGTGCTCACAACACCAGGGTTGCTGGTTCGATTCCCACGGCCACTGAGCTGTGCTCTCCACAACTAGACTGAAATAACTACTCGACTTGGAGCTGATGGGTCCTGGAAAAACACACTGTTCCCCAATTAAAAAAAAAGGGCAACCCTTAAACAAAATCCTGGGACAACAAAAATGTTGAGGGAGGGTGAATCCTTCATAAACCTCAGAAGCTGTAATGTGAAGAAGAGATAAATTGGACGACATAAGAATGTTTTAAAAGTCCTGTAGAGACTAAAAATGCAGAAAGGGAAGGAAGAAATGAAAACTTGAGGAAATATTTGCGCCCCCCCCCTCCACTAGAAACAAAGGTGTGACCTGTTGCCTGTGCAGAACACCTAACAATCCAAAGGAAAAGGCCTCCAGCCAACAGAACAGGCAAAGGTAAGAACAGACCCTAACGGACTAGAAACATGCTGTAAAGGTGCTCAATTTTATCCACAGCAACCCAAATAGCAGGAAGAGATACCACAGATCACTTTCTGACTTGTAAAGTAAAGCAAGTCTGATAATCCCCTGTGCGAGCGAGCCTGTATAAAGTCACCAGCATCCACACTTGATGGGAATGTCAACTGGTCTATCTTCTTTGAAAGGCCAAATTTTGGCACAGTCCATAAAAACCAAATGCCTCGTGCCCTTGGACTCGACAATTATGCTTCTAGGAACACATCTGACAAAACGTGAAAGCCAGCGTCATGCTGCAGGACTGTGTTTGAGAGATCATGTGCCGCATAACGACGTTTAAGCCAATGACAAACCGCATATACGACGGTGGTCCCATAAGAAGGACCCCCAAGAAAATTCACAGTGAGGGTTTAGCAGAAGCTTTTGCAGACCTGAACAAGCTCCTTAAAGTTTGAAAACATGGACCCCAACACTGAAAGCTTTCTTCATTAGCCTAAGCCAGGGGTTGGCAAACTTTTGAGATGGAAGAGCTGCCAGGGGCTGGCAAACTGCGGCTCGCGAGCCACATGTGGCTCTTTGGGTACATACACGTGGCTCTTTGGGTACATATATGTGGCTCTGAAGTCAAATTGAAAATGAAAATAAAACTATCATAGTTTCATTTATAAAATGTTTAAAGGACGTTATTCACATAATTGGTGATTATGTAAAAATGTATTTATGGCTCTCGAATAATTTTTAAATTGTTGTGAGGGACAGGATTGGCTCTTCCAGGGGTCCGCAAACTTTTGAGATGGAACGTACCCAAAGAGCCGCGTGTGGCTCACGAGCCACAGTTTGCCGACCCCTGGCCTAAGCTAATGAGTGTGCTTGTGTCTTACTCTTTAACAAAAAGATAAAAAAGTAAAATAAACAAATAAATTTAAAAATAGAAAAAAGCTCATACAATAAGGACATAAAGAAAAGACTCTTTTTTTAAAAAAAAATATTCTTGTACACCTGTATAAGGTGTTTGTTTTAAGCTAAGTGTTATTACAAGGGTTGAAAAGTTGAAAAAATTTTAGAAGTTCATCAAGTAAAAAAATTACAGTAAGCTAAGGTTAATTTATTGTTGAAGAATTTAAAAAATCAATCTAGCCAAGTGTACAGTGTCTATAAAGTGGACAGTATGTCCTAGGCCTTCACATTCACTCCCACTCACTCACCGACTCACCTAGTCCTACAAGCTCCATTCATGCTGAGTGCCCTACACAGGTGTGCCACTTTTTATCTTTCTTACTGTATTTTTACTGTAGCTTTTCTATGTTTAGATGTGTTTAGACCCACAAATGCTTCCCATGGTGTTACAATTACCTACAGCATTCAGTACAGTGACACGCTGTGCAGGCTTGTAGCCCAGGAGCAATAGGCTGTGCCACACAGCCTAGGTGTGCAGTGGGCTAGACCACGTAGGCTTGTGTAAGCGCACGCTATGATGTTCACGCAACGACAAAATCACCTAATGGCCCATTTCTCAGAACAAATTCCCATCTTTAAGCAGCGCGTGACTATATTAACAACAGTATCTACAAGTGAGGAACAGGTAACTGGTTAAAGGAATCATGACATATACATACAATGGAATATAACCCATTTGTCAAAAGACAGGGAGCAGATGAAGTTTTAATAAAAGCACAGTGAAGGAGTATATATGGCATATTACCACTTCTGTGAACTAAAAAAGGGAGATAAGATGTCTGAATAACATAATTCTGACAGCAGCAAGGACACAGGTCTCTAAAAAAGGAAATGGGCGACACTGTCCTGTTTGGTTGGAATGTTTGCTAAGAACGTGTTTTTAGAATATACTCGTATATTAAAAAAAATAGGGTTGGGAAGGAAAAGAATAGGCTACGAGTTTGTGGGATCTATTATTCTTTTGGCTTATTAGCTGCCAAAGTAATTTTTTTCTGGTTAAAAAAAAAAGAAATATGGCAGACACAAAAGCCACATAGTGTATGATTCCATTTATATGAAATGTTCAGAATGGGAAAATCAAAAAGACAGAAAGTAGATGAGTGGTTTCCAGGGGCTGGCGGGAGAGGGAATGGCAGTGACTGCTAATGGGCACAGGTTTCTGTTTGGGGTGATGGAAAGGTTCTGGAATTTGACAGTGGTGATGGACGCACAACTCTGAATTACTGAAAACCACTGAAGCGTGCACTTTAAACGAGCGAAGTGTAGGCATGTGAATTATCTCTCAATAAAGCTGTTATTAATAACAAGTGACATCTTATGCTCGTGTACCCTTTGGCCCATTTGTTCACCTTTGATCAGGCCAGCGGATCCGCCATATTCAATACAGGTTCCACTGTGACTTAAGTTTCCCAGTAAATTGCAAGCATTTCCAGCAGAAATTACTTCCAAGTGTTGCTCATGTCCCCTGACTTAAGAAGACAACACTCACAGTGTGTTTCCACCTGGGGGGTCTGGCTGAGGACAGGTTTGCAAGCCTCACACACTGTGTCGGGCTATGACATGGTAACGCTCCCCACCCTGTCGCTGCCTGGCTGGGCTCTTTACAAGTGAACTTTCTGCTTTTGTCTTTTACATATTTGTACCTCCTCGTCTATTGTACATATTTGTGACCTGCTTCAACGGCCGCTTCCTGCTGCTGCCAGAGACCCACCTCCAGCTGTCCCATTTTGCCTCTTCTGTACTGGGAACCTAAGCAGTAGTGACAGCAGCTTAGTGCACTCAAAGGGTGCTTCTAAGCATCAGGACCTTCGCTTTTGGGGCTGCTCTGAAGCTTTTAAGTTCAATTCTAGGTCCCTGGCCAGGCCACAGGTACAGGAGGGAGCCGAATAAGGTTCAGGCATCTGCATTTTAAAGATGTCCCGAAGCTGGATGGTCACTGGTCTCTCCTGGCACATTTACTGGGTTTCTCGCTTTCTCACCGGGCCGGTGGAGAGAGGGCTCTTTTACCTCTCCCTTCCTCAGGGAGGCCCCGACCTGGGCATTAAAACTCCATTCCACTGTTTTTTCCTTCCCAGAGAGCAGCTGTAGAGCCCGACAAGGTCACTCTGAATCGCCGCGAAGTCTCAGCCTGCACACTGCATCAAATCACTATTCTATCATCATCGTCCTTGATTCTGAGCTCTGTGCTAACTGCTCCTTAATTCCTTGAGTCTCTGCAGAGCCCTCCAGATTTGCTGCTTAGTGCTGTTTTCTTATGCCATTCAGGGTGCCTGGACTCTGATGCTATTAGTGCCATAGCAGTTTCTGTCCAACTTACTAATGTTATAGCTAGTACCTGTTCTGTCACCCCACGGTGCTGGCTGACTGCAGCCCGGTGACCTGCAGAGACTGGCTCTGGGCGGCCTGTGCCCTCGGTTTTCTAACTTGGATCACAGCTACGAGGTATCAGCACGGAGGGCTTACTGAGCAGCTGGGCCTGTGGAATTTGCCCTCTGCAGTGGCTTTACAGCAGGCAATCCAATTTCAATGTAACTTTTCTCAGAGTAGCGATTCCTACACCTACATGTGGCAGAGGACTTCGATTTGACTTCTCAGGGATGCCTATTTCCTCCCACCATTCAAAGGCCCAGGTAAAGCCTGGCCTTCCTCCTGGGCTGCAGGGGAGAGGGTGCCTTTTCTCTCCCTTCTCTCTGGAGGCCCCTATGTGGGTGCTGACACCCCAGCCACCAGCCTCCTCCTGGATCTGACACCTGACCCGCCTGGCCACCCGAGCATGGCTTTTAGCCCTTCTTTATTTCTTGGCCCCAGATAACTCCCTTTCTTTCTTGGTGCCCCATGGGCACACATTTCTTTTGTAAGACTCTATGTGGGCTACAATTTCCCAGTGCTTGTAGTAGGAAGGACCAGCTTACTCAATCGTGTTGTCAATGAAAACCCTTATTTTCCAATTAGGCTATTGCTTTTATAATCACAAAAAATAAAATAAAAAAAAAGAAACCTCAAGGATGGCAGGATAGCTCAGGTGGTGACAGCGCAGTGCTCATCACACCGAGGTTGCCGGTTCGTTTCCCACATGGGCCACTGAGCCGCGCCCTCCACAACTAGAGTGAAACAACTACTTGACTTGGAGCTGATGGGCCCTGGGAAAACACACTGTTCCCCAATAAAATTTAAAAAACAAAACAAAACAAAACCTCAAGTAAAACATACTCTTTGCTAAAAACAAATATACGTGCATGCGAGTATGTAGTTTTTCTTCTTTCATGACTGATGGACTGTTGACAAAGATGACAGCCCACTCTTCTGGAGGTGAAGCCTGTAGCTACTTACTTGCTCATTTGCAGAATAGCAGTTTAAAACATGCTTCCTTATCGAATACGCAGGACATGGAAAAAGCAGTCAGCAAACGCAGAAATCTGCCTAGGGTGTCCCGGGCCCTACCTTTTGGCGCCCCCCGCGTCGGGGGAAACGATGATACAGTTCCTCCACTCAGGGATGTTCTCCCGGATCCACTGAAGGACTGCAGGCTCCGCGTACAAATTATCCACGGGGATGTCGAAGAATCCCTGAGGGGAAAAGTCAGTGTTACATTGCAGAGCTTTTGAAAAGGTATTCTTGCCTTAAAATTTCAATTGTTTATTCCAAAAAAAAAGCCTTCTCGATAGACTCCCTTTTCTTCATTTTAAGGGGATTCAATCAAAAGATAGCTATGTGCCAGGAGCACATTTCAGTCCCATCTGCTATCTGTGGGGACACGTACTGTTACCTTCTGATCGCCTATATCCTAAGGAATAGAGAGAACAGCTTTACAGGGCCGTGGGGGAGAAGAGGTTTGTTGTTTCTTAAGCACCTTCTTATAAGCCAAATACTCCATGTTCATTAAATCACCGAGTAGGCATAAACAGGATAATTTGGCCTGTTTTATAGATGAAGGAACTAAGTTATAAAGAGGTTAAAAAACATACATTACAACTCTGCCATTCTAATGATTTTCCACAAGTTGAGATGGAAATATAGAGTTTATTACCAAGAAGCCATTTCGCCTCCAAAACTGACTGGAGGCAAGGTGGCGGAGTCAGGAGATATCAACATTAAATTCTATGTCCAAGTTCAATAAAGATTAGAAGCCAAGAGAGTCACCATATACCAAACTCAAATATGAGCACTATTACCTCCTTCAAAAATTACTTAACAAACAAGATTTAACCACTTACATTAAGTCCCCAATCACAACCAAAGGCAAGAAAGAAAATGCTAGAACCTGGATCTGAGAGGCATGCAGGTCCATGGTGATAATGTGGTCTGCCCCAGCAACCGAGAGCATATTGGCCACAAGTTTCGCAGAAATTGGAGCACGACTCTAAAAAACAAAGACATGGGTTTTTATAAGGGAGGAGATGGGTACATTTAGATTCCTCCCACTAAGATTTACATGAGCAAGATAAATCACAGCTGATTTATAACATGTTAATAAAGAAAATTAACATTAATAATTTTAAATTATTTACTACTTCAACAATTTAAATTAATTAATAATGAAGAAAATTAACGTTATAACAAAAAGTATTCATTCCATTTTATTCACCAAATATTTACGATTTACATATACTATTGCAAGACAATGTGCTTGACACTGGGTATAGAGAACAAATCTCAAAGAAACAAACAAACTATATACAGAGGGTGCCAAAAAAAGTATACACATTTTAAGAAAGGAAAAAACTATTAAAGTTGTAATACTCAATATATACCAATAACAAAAGATGAATACAAGTCACGTGTGACTTCTGCAATGACAAGAGGTTCTCAAAGTGGTTCCCATCAGCGTCCAGACACTTCTGATGACGGCGAACTACTGCTTGAGCAACATTGACCAAAGTGTCCACTTGTATACATTTTTTGGCACCCTCCAAAAATAGCACTCCCGGTATGTACCACCTCCTCTTTATCCATTCATTCATTCAGGGACACCCAGGCTGCCTCCACATCTTGTAAACAATGTTGCAATGAACATATAAATGCACTCATTGCCTCAAAATGACGTTCTGAGGTTTTTTTGGATAAATACCCAGAAGTGGTATTACTAGGTTTTTCTTCGTCTCTTGTTATAGCCTTTGTTTTAAGTCTATTTTGTCTGGTATAAGTATTGCTACCACAGTTTTTCTGTTTGTTTCATTTTCATGAAATCTCTTTTTCCCATCCCTTTATTTTCAGTCTGTGTGTCTTTCAATCTGAAGTCTCTTGTAGGCAGCATATATACGGGTTTTGTTTCATCTACTCAGCCACCCTGTTTTGATTGGAGCGTTTACTCCATTTACATTGAAAGTGATCGTTGATAGATATGTAGTTATTACCATTTTATTATTCATATTGTTTTGTTCTTTTTTTCATCTTAAAGAAGCCCCTCTAAGATTCCTTGTAATGCTGGTTTGGTGGTGATGAACTCCTTTAGCTTTTTCTTCTCTGGGAAACTCCTTTTCTGTCCTTTGACTCTAAATGACAGCTTTGCTGGGTAGAGTAATCTTGTTTGTAGGCCTTTGCTTTTCATCACTTTGAATATTTCCTGCCAATCCCTTCTGGCCTGCAAAGTTCCTGTTGAGAAATCAGCTGACAGTCTTACAGGAGCTCCCTTGTAGGTAACTAGCTACCTTTCTCTTACTGTTTTTAAGGTTCTCTCATTGTCTTTAACCTTTCGCATTTTAATTATGATGTGTCTTGGTGTGGGCCTCTTTGGGTTCATCTTGTTTGGGACTCTGCACTTCCCAGGCTTGTATGTCTACAGGTTAGAGAAGTTTTCTGTCATTTCATCAAATAGGTTTTCAATTCCTTGGTCTCGCCTCTCCTTCTGGTACCCCTATGATGCGAATGTTGTTACATTTGATGTTGTCCCAGAGGTCCCTTAAACTGTCCTCATTTTCTTGGATTTTTTCTTTCCGCTGTTCTGTTTGGGTGTTTTCTGCTACCTTATCTTCCAAATTACTGATTTGATCCTCTATATCATCTAATCCACGGTTGATTCCCTATAATGTACTTTTCACTTCAGTTATTGTATTCTTCATTTCTGACTGGTTCTTTTTTATGTTTTCTATCTCCATTTTTATGTTTCCTATCTCTTTCTTGAAGTTCTCCTTGAGATCACTGAGCATCCTTATAACCAGGGCTTTGAACTCTGTCTGGTAGATTGCTTGTCTCTAATTTGTTTAGTTCTTTTTCTGGAACTTTGTTCTGATCTTTCATTTGGGACATGTTTCTTTGTCTACCCATTTTGGCTTTTTTTTGGTATGTATTAGGTAGAGCTGCTACGTCTCCTGGCCTTATGTAGTAGGTGTCCTGTGGGGCCCAGTGGCATGGTCTCCCTGGTCATCTGAGCCTGCCCCAGGTGTGACCCTTGTGGGGGTTGTGTGCGTCCTCCTGTTGTAGTTGTGCCTTGGTTGCTGTTTGCACATCAGTGAGAGGGACTGATCTTTGGGCTGATCGGTTGTGAGGACTGGCCATGATTACAGAGGAGGGCCTGTTGTGCAGGGGCTGACCCTACAGAGCAGGACTCACTTTAGCAGGGCGCTGGTGCCTGCCCAGCCCTTGGAGGCAGCTGGGTGATGTTCCAGCTGGGTCTGAAGCTGGCCACCGGGCATGCCAGCCCCAGGGCTTCCTGGGTGGGGACCCGCTGCCAGTCAAGTTTAGCTGTAGCCTATGTCCTGCCTGGGGTGACCTGGCATGAGGCACGAAGCAATCAGGAGATGGCTGCTGCTCACACTGGGCTTGGAGATGCCTCGAGAGACCAAGCTGTGAATTGAGGCTGGATGCCGCTAGTGCTGGGATAGGGCTGCTCAGCCAGAGGTACAAGACATGCTGAAGCTGCTTGTTTGGGTTTTGTGAACCTTTGAGAGATTTTAGGAAAGTTCCCAGATAAGCCAAGACAGGTTGTTTGTATGGAAAAGCCACTGGAAGTGGATTGGGTGGGCCTACAAGTTGGGTTGGGTGGGGTCTCAGGGAATCACCAGGGCAGGCAAAAGGTGTTAGCCAGGTTGATGGAGACAAAGATATGGTGCCCGCCTGCACATGCAGGCTCGGTGAGGGGAGGGCTCAAGAAAGAAACAACGGCTTCTGCCAGCACTTCTGCCTGGGAGAAAGCTGCCCCTCCAGCCTTTGCCCTGAAACCAGACAATTCAGTTCCTCCCTGTATGTCCCTGTGCCTTTTGATCTGCTGCCCCAGGGCTGGGGGTCAGAGCGAGTGAGTCTGTCAATGAGTAAGTCCATGCATGGTCCTTTTAGGAGGAGCACCTGGGACTTCAGCAGCCCTCTGTGTAACTCAGCCACAATCTCTGCTGGTTTTCACAGCCAGAAGTTATAAAGACTTCTCTCCCTGCACTGGAACCCTGGGCTGGGGCCCCTCACTTCTCTGGGGAGGACCTCCACAGCCAAGATACCCCTCTCAATTTTTAATGGTCACATGTGGTGTGGGACCAGCCCATTCCATGTCTCTGCCCTTCCTACCAGTCTCGAGGAGGCTTTTTCTGTATGTCCTTAGTTGTAGGGCTTCGGTTCAGCTACACTTCAGGCGATTCTCAATGATGGTTGTTCTGTTGTTTAGTTGTCATTTTGATGTAGTCGTGTGAATAGGTGAGCACTGTGCTTACCTATTCTGCCATCTTGACTGGAAATCTCCCCTAAACGTTCATAGATGTTTGTAGATAGTGAGATTATGGGGAAGTATTTTTCTCATTTTAAAAAATTTGCAACCTTCTCAACTAACTACATATTATCACTCATGTTTTCATTGTTTACTCCTATGTTCTCTTCCACGTTGCCTTTAGGATCAAAAGCCCTCGACCACTCTGGCTCTAGCTACTGAGAGCTGGTCCTCCCACACATGTGCCTCTGCTACAAGGGTCCTCCTTACAGTTTGTTCTGGGCCTGCTCTCCCTCTTCTGAAGGGCACCTTAAGTGCTGTTTACACCTGCAAACCTGTCTCACCTCCACTCCACCCCATCTCTGCTCAGCCAATGCGTTTGGACCTCCAGATCTGGTTCAAATCTCCAAACTTTAAGGCATTCTGAGAACTCCAGAGAGAAATGATCCGTCCCTTCCAAAAGGACAGAGTACTGGCTGAGCATTTGGCCCCTACCATTTGGGACCATCTGCTTAAATACTGACGTGAGAAGATACGGGTATGGATGTCAGAGTTCACAGCTAGAGTATGTAGTCCACAAGGACAAAGATTTGGTTTTGGAGATTTTCATATCATCCATAGCACATAGCTCTGTACCTTGCATACGATAGTTCTTTGATAAATATTTCATAATAGAAATCTCTGTAACACCAAGTTTCCAAGGCTTTATCATTAGCCTCACTGATTGTGAGAATTATTAGGTTTGACAAAATTCCAAAATAATTTTTTAAAAAAATTGAACCTTGGGACTTCTTTGTAATAGAATCTGACTCTCAGTGCTAGTCAATTTGGGGCTCTTCCTACAATTTTATAACTCAAAAAGATTTCTCTGTTCATCTCTCTCAGTGACGTCAAGCATTTTTATTTCCGAGATGCAAACCACAGGGGTAGCCTCTAAATCCACACTTTCTGCTTTTCCTCTTAAGACCTTGTTTACAAATTTGGTTTTTGCACTGTGTTTCATAATTTGGCTCAATATCCAACGAAATCTTGCAGAAAAAATGATTTATAAGTTAACTGATTTTACATCCAATAAAGGAAAAAACTAGTATGGTATTTCAACAAAGGTAGAGTCAAGATACAGTAGTCAAAAATAAAACATTTGACTCCCCTAACGAAAACTGGATAAAGATCAAGCGTTCTGTGAACCAGCCCAATCATGACAAAGACTCTCCAGCTATTTCAGATCTTATTCAATGTATCAGACACCACCCTGCTAAAAGATTATATTAGACAACTTTGAAAAATGTACAAGATTGTAGAAATTTGTGTCAGGACAACTGTCCTCAATGTTTCCAGTTAAGGAATAAAAAGAAACAATTTTATCATTGAAAAAAGAACATAACCTTGAAAATAGTTTTGAAAAAAGCCACAAGTTCTCTATTGCCCCTGAAGTAATTATCTCCAGCCTTGCCCACATCTTACTGTTTTTACTGCACCTCTTACTGTTTTTACTGGGAAAAGCCACTAGCAGCTATTGAGGGTCCACTAGAGCAGGGGTCAGCGAACCCGGGCCCACGGGCCAAGCCCAGCCTGTGGTCTGTTTTTGTACAACCTGTGAGATATGAAACATTTTTAAGTGGTTGAAGAAACAATCAAAAGAAGAACATACTGTGACATTTGAAAAGTACATGAAATTTATATTTCAATGCCCATAAATAGTTTTTCTGGAACACAATGGCACCCCTTCA